TTCAATGGGAACGTATCTCGACAAACAATAAGTCATTTACTACGAAGAACGCATCAGATTTCAACCGCTACCGCCACGCGAGAGCACTGGCGGCCGTACCTTCTCTACAACAACGCGTCTCATCAATCGTCAACTGAATTATTAACCGCGACGTATAGGGTTCTAACAGAAGAACCGATACGTAGTCTGTGAAAGTCCGTGATACTCCTACGGTGAAACTGCCAAGGGTCCTAGACCCTTATGCCGTGTTTGTCGGAGCCGCAAACATGAACCGCTATGCATTCCCGCAATGGTCATCAGCAGCTTCAGTCGACTTCAGTAACCGTTACAACAGCATCTTCACTACCTATGATGGCAACGGCTAAGATAGTTCACGGCAATCCACGTATGTCAGCGCCCTCGATCTGGACGGTGCGCTCTGCTTTGTATCGACGACAAAGATCAACAAACTAGTTGGAGTCAAGCATTTTCTAGTTCTAATGCGTTTACTACATAGAAGTATCGTATCTGCCTGACTAGCTATTTCGACAGTTGCGTTTGTGTAGATGTGTTTACTTACGCATATGACTTTGACGTTAACCTGCCAAGTAACTGTTTGACAAACAAAGCATACGAGCCTTCGAAGCGTCACATACTCTTGCTGATTAAGTCCGGGCTAATGGTTCCAACCATGAAATACCTGCAACACTTATCAGTATGGATCAATGTCACAGAATGGTGTGCAAGAGGTCACTGCAGGATGCTACAAATGGAGCAGTGGCCACGGGAAACGCTTGTCCGCATGATAGCTTAGTGTGTAACGGGTGTGTAATCAAAGGGACATGTTGTGGTCTAGGTTCAAACCTAGGCATGCACGCAGTTCGTTTCGTGTTGGGGGCCAGCCGTCTAACGGCAATACCGGACCCGAAACGTAGAGAGATGCGGGTGGATCGTAGCTGGTTCTGTCTGCAAACGAGTACAAATATGCGGCGTGTATCTGGTCTTCTGTGTCGCATCAATCATAAAGCCAGCGCGATTTACGGAGCGTTTGTGGTCGCTAAAGGCTATCGGTAATCAAGATTCGCCTTCGAACATGCTGTTAGCGAAATGTAGCAAAGCAATTTTATGATACGTTATTTTAGGACGGTGAGTCATACATGCTCAGCATGCCAAAAATAGCATCCCTCGTTTAACTGGCTAGCAGTCTTGATACCGTGTCATGTCGCATGGAAGACAAGTGGCGTGATGCTCGTTACTCCACAATCCGGAAACTTTCGCTTGATACCACAAAGAGGTGATGACGTTTGTAACCGAAGGTCATGCCGAAGAGGTTATCCACTTTTATTTCTCTTAACCTAACACAAATGACAGAACCTACCATATGCTACATCACCAAATAACATAAGCGTGAGATCGTCAAAAATGACAGATCATATTCAACTATCTACCCGTTGGCCCGAGCCATCTGATCAATCTGGATTTTGTAAAGCGACTCATGTACTAAGGATGTACAGTTTCAGTCCTCTAAGGGGATGCAGCTCGCTAAAGGGAAACCCACTCACTGCCGCGGTATCCAGTCACCTGGGGCTTGTTTCGTGAAAAGAGCACTTCTCAAGGTTTTTGGTGTGGTATAATCTCCGACGGGAGACCATTGCGCAATCGGCAGGTCACCAAATCATCACTCCATCGATGGGTTGTGTGTCATAAGACACATGGCGATTCTGCTCTTCAGATCCAGATTCTACTGTAAGCAACATAAAAAGTTTTTTTCACTCGATCTGCAATCGTACCGCTCGTGTATGTTTGGCCTAACATAAAGCAACTGGTCGTTCAATTGCTCTAGAGCTGCCAGGTATCTAGGCCATTTTGAGAGACTTGTCCAAACCGGTAAAGTGGCGCTTTTAGAAACAGTTGATTGTTACCTTGGAGGAACCCCCTATCATAATCGGCAAGATTACTGCCGTCGTCAACAACTTAGATACACCGCAAGCTTATACAGTTCAATTACAGCAATGCAATTCTTGCATGATGTTCCGGTAGGAACTATTCTTGCTGCGATAACGCCACAAAATGGACCAGGTCACAATAGCAATCTATCCATGGAGTCGATGCCACTCACTTAGTTTCGTTTAGCGCTACTCCTATTCAGGACTTACCAGTCTCTCGGTGTACGTTTTAACCGCGAGTACCCTCTCTATGAAAGAAGAACTTCGACAGGAGGGAGCGAGTCAGAGCAAGCGTTGCCGGAGTCGTGTATCTAGTTAAAGGGGACCATTTACTTCCTATCAAATAGAACTCTATCCGTGTAGAAAAATGTCATGCGAGTCGCAGCAAAATCTCATAATTATTATAGGACTCGACGAGTAGCGTAGCTAGAAATTACAATAGAAATCATACAGTATTTCATTAATGCTGATCGAATTACTGAATTATTATTTTTTTTTTATACAGATCGGTGTGAAGTGATGGTCCAACCATTTTATGGGTGGACTGTCGAATATATCAATAATAATATGATGACTTAATAATGATGAAAATTCGTGACACATTCTGCATTCGGCATAATTTGTATAGCTCGCCAATGAATGTTAAAGCGTTCCAGAATGTAGTTCCACAAAGGGGACACTATCGTTTCATGGCACAATTTTACGAAAGAATAAACGCTCACGGCGTGAACACCACATAGAACAGACCCTAGCAGAAGAATGAGTGCCTTCAGTCATCAGGGCCATAAGTGGCCTTACTTATTTGGCTGTTTGGAACTCACTTTATTACTACTTGTGTGCCGATTTAATAGAGCAAGATACCAGTATTTTTTCAAAATAAAATCCTATAACCAAGATTATAAATTTTCAAATAAATAAATTTAGGGTGACTTACAAACGTTTTATGAACTCAAGAATAATATATGTACATCAATATTAAACTATATTTCAAAATATATATATTGAATGTTTTTGTCTTTCACACCTTTGCTTTAAGCAGTTTTTCATCTCGTAGTCGCTCAACTCTTGGGAGTTTGCTAAAATTGTTTCTCAACTATTGTGTTTCTTTAAATAGTAAAATATTTTTATTCACGTGTTTTTTTTAGTGCCATTTGCAAATGCAATTCAGCCGTGAAACACTCCGATGGGGTACTACCAAAATATGGGCCTCATACAGGGAGCACTTTTGGAAAGCTTGTAGTAAAAAGTATAGTAGGGTCTAATGGAATGCCCAGCATTGGTGCCGGACGTTAAAGTTCGAAACATTTAGTCAGCTATACTTGAAAAGAAATGTGAAGGCTCGTAAAAACACGTGGTGCTGTAGATTCGAAATCGGCATAGACACACTTCGTTTCATGCTGAGGGTCAGCCGTCTGATGCATTGCCTATAAGCGGAAATTTAGCCATGTTTGGTGTCTGCGCGAGGTTTTGAACCTATACCACAACGTATCTTAAAACTTCAGCAGGTAAACACGTTACCCACTACGCCACAGTGGGCCAGACATTACCTCACAGTTATATTTGGTTCTTCAGCATTGCTAGACTTCACTCCATTTATAGTAGGAGCTTACACTGAGTGAGGGACAAACCAATAAATTGTGGGTGCACGTGTTATTTTTTTTTCCGAATCAGCTGTGTAAAACATTCTATTAAGTATCTTTTGTTGCATCAGGCATGTTTCGACGGCAACGTAAATATGGAAAAATTTCTTTCGCCAGCATTCTGTTCTCTTTGGCAGGTATAAAAAACATCCCACATTTGTAACAAACCACTTTAGCCAACAGCAAATTGTTTTTCTTTTAACGTTTATGAATATCCCGTAGAAAAAAACAAATGTGGCAATTATTACAACGCCTTCTTCCTAAATTAACAAGTAACTGATTAATGATAAACGTAGTAGAAATCTAGTTATCATCATTGAAATTGTGTTTGCAAGTGTAATAAATTAGGGTATTGGAAATCGTGCTACATTGCGTTGCTTGAAACAGCATCAAAGATAATTCAAGATTAATCTGATGCTGCTTTCGCACATTATGTTTATACATGTTGAACATCCATTTCCATGTTACCATCCACACCGCCATCAACAGCCCGTACATACACTCCATATTGTACTGTAAAATGTATCTGTGAGAAGCTTGGGAAAATGGCATATAATTTCCCTTAGAAAGATACATCAGCGCGGGGTACAGCAGTCTAAGTAGGTATATGAAGTATGAAAATTAAGCACAAAAAAGGAAAGAACTAGCACAATAGGTTAAGGACAGCTTTTATTTCAGTTTATAATTTATGATGTACTAGTTAAAAGGAGTGTTTCTAAACGCGTACTGCTTACTAACTGTCGGGTACCTTGCTGGGCAGAGGACAAAAACACATAATCGTCAAATCTACAATTTGAGCCTATCTAAGGTGGTCTCTTGAAGACTAGTCACCTTTATCTGCTTTTATAATTACTCTTTAGTGAGAATGTTTCAGGTTTCGGTACATCGAACACGTTCCTTTAAACTAGGTAATAAAAGATGGATTTTATTGATTGATTTTGCTCAGCAAACTGGAACTTTTTTGTGGTCACAGCTATAATATACAGTAGATTGCTAGCTTTGTTTGCCTGTTACGTTAATAATCTTTATCGTAAACTCTATGACGTTTTTTAGTCGTCGGAAGTCCCGCGAAATGGCGCCATTGAAATAGTTGTTACGAAACTATTTAAATTTGGCGCGCTTGAAAAGGAGGTTGCACTTGGCGTCTATTTGGGTTGCTTACGTCTTTGTCGGCATCTGTTTAACAGTGACCACAGTGGCTTAAAGGCCACTCGGTAAGAGCACAAACATTCGAACGCGCGAACGGTATTGTTGTGGATCACCCAAGCTAAAATAGAATGGCTATGAGTGTTCCAAGCAGTGGTGTTCAGTCTCCGGATATTATTCAACATGTGTCTTTTCAGCAACAGCTAGTTGTAGGAGACCCTCTGCCTGGAACATCGTCAGGCGAGGGAACCTCCAATGGCAAGGAATCCACCTCATCCGGTCAGTAACGCTTTATATGTGAGCCTTCATCATTTTGTATCATCGTTCTTGGCTATACATGTATAAAAATGTGTCAGCCAAAAATTTCAAATTCCATTCATTTAACATTGACGTGATTCTGAATAACCGTGTTTGAGGTACATTTTCGCGAATGAGGTGATCGAATAACTAGTTATAGTATTATTCTATTTGGACTTTGCAGTCAACACCCACTATTTCGAACGTTATGTCTTCAAATGTAAACAAACAGTAACAGGCTATAAGATGAAAGCTGTAATAATGAAGTATAGAAGTGTTAAAACCTATTATTTACTTTACAGATGTGCACTAGCTGGGTTAGCCACTAATGGATATAATAAAACGAAAGTAAAGTGAAAATTTCCGGAAGTTTTCAAAATGTACATAATATAATATAAATATCTTAACATATATTCTTCTTAACCATCAAACTTCAGGATTACTGGGACGATTGCATAATTTTAGTCAACTGTTGTTTATTCAGGAGCAGGTACACCTGTTTGGGGACACAGTTTTATGGTTTGTGTCTATGACTATTTCTTAATACTCTGCAGAATACAAAAAAATATGTGCATATTAACGGGATATTCGCCAAAAATTTCTTAAAAGAATATAAAATAGATGTACATGAAAAGCAAGTAATTTTGTAAATTCTTCGTGATTCAGATCAGACTCACTGAGTCAGTGAAAGCTATCCTCAAGTAAGCATAGAACCTTGTTCTGCTCGAACGCACTCGTATGAGAAGAAAAGTATAAAAGTGAACACAAGTGATAATGCTTTTCTCTAAAGCAACATGTTTTCTCAAAGCGATATTTGCTAATATTTAAATTTTAAGCACAAAAACAACCTATTTTCCCTTTTTTTTTTTGCTACATTACTACGTACGTTATACGCGTAAAATTTTGTGTTATCATAAATAATACTAGAGGCTTTACCACAATTGAACGATACATACGGAATACATTAAATAGGAAACGCATTGCAAATGTAATCTCATTACAACAAATCTAGTAACAAGCCTATAAAATAATTTTTGAGATTCGTTTTTATGAGGCCTAAAATAACATTTTCAATTTCGAATGATATAAAACATGGTAGTGATAGTTTATCAATAAATGAGATCTGATGTATCTTTGGAGTGAAAGGAATGACTCATTTATAATTACAGTTCTGAACGAACAGTGAATCGTCTTAATAAGACCTACAGTTACGTACTATTTGTCGAGCCTAATCTTTGCTTTCATATTTTGTCGAACATCGGAAATAGAGCTAGGCATCCGCATCCGTGTCATATATGGTACCGCTATCTCGCGACAAAGTGCTAGGTCAGTGACGTTTACGGTTTAAAGTGTAAGTTACATTACGTAAGTACATAATAGGGATTCCCTGAAATCTTACTGATCCACTAGATGGCTTGGGGGTCTGTGGCTGCAAAAGTCAATCATTACTAATTCGAACTCCGTAATACGACATGTCTCTTACAAAAAATGTTCTCAACTGAATGACGCGTTTGTACATATAAATCGTGTGGCCGCACTACGGTCTACGATAATAGTTCCGCCTCGAAATTGCTGCACAATAAAATTCAGGATCGATCGTGTCCCACGGTGGACATATTGTTGAGATAGTGTTTCTTTTTTTTGTTGCGTCTTAGTTTTCTAATAAACTCTAGTTAGCTTCTTTGAATTAATAGACACAACCTAAATATGATCTTCTACTACGAGGCTTTACCTTTAGGCTAACGCTGCACACTCCTGGAAGACCCAAGCAACGTACGAATTGTATATGGTATATGAAATTTCCATAGGGCACCTTTGTACAATCCTCGCGTCTTGTATTTGCAACTTAATACGCTCTTTTCTTTCAATATTTAGAATCAACAATGTCTTTTAGTTGATGATTGAATTTATTATATTATTCTAATGAATGGAACGATAATTACCTTATAGAATAGATATACATATTCTACATTTTTGAAAAAATTGTTATTTTTACTATGTATATGTTAAAACAAATCTTTTCAAGGAACGAAACAAGCAGAATAAATGCTACTTGCAGTGTACCCGTGGCAAAGACGAAATGCCTTTATCAAGTCAAGTGGATGCTAGCTTAAACGATTACTATTCCGGTCGTCAATAATCTGTTTTCGCAGGAAGTGCACACTGTGAGGACGTATACTTCATTAGCGTCCAACCTGAAGGGTAATCGATTGTGAACAGTTGTTATGTACCTGGATTATATTTGCGAGAAAAAGTCATGATCTGAACGGAAAAAAACCACAAAGGTGAAAAAAGTGGCGCTAAAGCACACATTGTGAAATAACCACCAATTGTGTTTTTGCTCATTGGTCGACGTACGTGCGACTCATTGATTGAATAAGTTGGCTACGCGTTGCACTATTAATGACACCGGAAGGTCGCGCTTTTTTGCTTCGCCTATTTTCACGGTGAATGGCGAAGTAGCATAAAATAGTATGTCCTATTTTTTGTTTTTTCAGGCCAAATTCGAAAGCGCGGCCGTGCTCCATTTTTGCCGAAATGTCGGCGATGTGGTTTGGCTACCCTTAAGGGAAATCAGCTCATGCCGTGCCCACAAAAGAAGCACACAATCCATAGATTATGTATAAACTCAAAAGAAGGATATCCCGCTAAGGACTGTGATTGTCCACCGGATGAGACTCTCGGAAAAGTTATAAAGGCTACCAGAAAGCGCAAAGTCAAGAAAGATGAGTTAGCTTTGATGCCGACGGCAGACGCTGACAGAGTAGCGTCACCAACGAGCTCCTATCTTTCCCATCTAGATGCTACAACGGCTACGTTCTTTAGCACGGGAATGTTCTACCTCCAATTGCCCTGCCCCGTATTTCGCAATGAAAGTAAGTATTATTTATAGTTAGTTTGTCGTTTTCCATCAATAATAATGTTGATACCGAATGAGCGCTTAACTATCGATTTGCTTGGTCTGTTGTCTATGCGTTTGTATCGACGATTTATGTCGATATAATAACCTTGTTATATCAGCGAATCAATAATTTGACCGGGTTTGCGGCGCTACTCTCGTCTGCGCGTCTGCTACATACAGGCATGTAAACGTGTGCTCTTCATTTTCCAAGCGCGTTGAATGTTTTTATAAGTGTTTTTTTGTTTTATTTTTTATTTTAAATGAAATTAATATCATAGAGCGTGCATCGTCCTCTATCTAATAAACTTCTGTGCTCAAATAATTTTAAACGGTGTCAAAAGCCAACGGTTTCGCAGCGTATAAAAGAGCGTTGAACGTTTCGGACGATCTGTCACAGTGAGGGTGGCGAAAAAAGTACGAACAAAAACGTACAATGACAAAAACAACTTTACTGGAGCTTCACCAAATCGCTTTCAGACAGAGACGTTGCGGATATCAAATGAGCCATGTCGGATTCATCGTCAACATTATACCACAAAGCTTGAACTTGCAACAAATGGAAATCCGCTAACAATTACTCCAAAAAAAGCCTTAACGCACTAAATGAGAGGATTGGCTCCAATGTGTGATTACAGGAGATAAGACTTGAGTGTATTACCGCGACCCGTGGTGCATTCCGTAAAAACTAGGCTTCCTTGCACCGTGTTCTTCAACTATTGAGGAGTTATGCATTATGCATCCATACCGAATGGTTCTACCGTCATAAAGGAGCTTTAGCGAGTAGTAATAAAAATGCGTAAGGTTGTCCCAAGTCTGAATGTTTAGGTAAACAGATTGTGAGTTTTTCGGTACGATGATACACTGACTACTACGACGATACCTATATCGCAAAGAACTCGATGCTTGTATCCTCTTAGCTCGTGTATTCACCAGATCTAGACTCCCTGCTACTTTGTCTACCAAATACCCTGAAAAGGAAACTGCAGGGCGATCGATAAATTCAAGAACAAACTAAACTAGAATGAAAGTTTATACCTACAACTCTGAAGTTGTCAAACGTAAAAAAAGGTGGCACAGATAATTTTAGTGCGACAATTTTTAAAAGGGACAACTTGGCTTTACTTGATTGAGGCTTGTGCAGTTTTGTCTAGCCACCCAGTAGTGTTATCTCACAATAATATGGATTACCGCATCCTATTTCAGGTGCACTAGTTATATATAGTGCACCAAAACTACTTACTCAATTTTGACTCTGCTTCTCATACCTAATATATTCAAACATGACTATTATCAGTAAAAAGCCTAACCTTCTCTATTGAGACAGCTGTCATGGAGCCGATGGTCTGTCAAGTATGGTAATCAAATAGGTTCCTCCTAAATATACTTTAAGTGGAAATTCAACAGTGATAATAAAGTTCGGGTTTTTAAAGTAAATTATAGTATGGGAATAATAACAGCCTGTCAACCTATTAATTCGTTTTGCTTGTTGTTTTGTATAATGATTTTAGTAAACGTGGCCCTGTATCAGCTTCAAATGGCAAGAGGAGTGGAGGACCCCACGGTTTTAGCCGTTCCCGCTTACCTGTTGAACACCCAGCCAACGTTTTCCACGCCAAGCGCATGGCATCGACAACCGCCGGCACAGCCGATGTAGGCAATCTGTATATTATGAATAGTTCATTTATATGGGCCGTTATTATCTCAGTACCTGTATATGGCCAAGAAACAGGGTGCTTGCCACGGTATCATGTGTTATGATTTGACCGATTAGACCTTGTTTCAATACCTTAATAGCGTTCCTCTTATAAGACAAACAAAAATTTAGTCAGAATATTATTGTAATTTAGGATTAACCACAATCATTTTTCTAAGCGAGGCCATTGATGTCATGGGACTAACCAGAACGATTTTCTCGATTTAGGAAATGAAGGTCGTAGATATACGTGACCGTATTTTGAAAACAAATAATCTATACTGAAAAAAGCACTGTCGTATCCGAGAACACTATGGTAAAGACTGCGTATATGGTTGTGTTCGCGGTAGGGTGTTCAGATGCAATTGTGGTATATCAAATATATCCGGAGCTTTAGTCACGATTTCCCTATTAGTGTGTCGGACATTAACAATATTGGAACATTTATAAGGCTTTCTCCCGACAGCACGTCTAAACAAATTAACAGGCGTCTACAGAAAAGCGTCATCTCAAAATAATGCTATATTTGATTTAATTTTGTGGTAGTACCAGGAAACGCAAAAATCTCGGAGAAATGATTTATCTCTTAGAAGTCGGTAGGACCACATGTATAATATTGCTATAATAAATAATTTGTAAGCTATATGCAGTATTATCAATTTAACAGCTACTTAATGATCGTGGGACAAAGTGTCTCCAAGCAACGCCGCATGCTCTAAATAAAATAATTGAAATCGGGCATTCAGATATGGCCCGAGGCGCTCTGTTCTCCACGGCAACTCCACTAACAAATCTATGATAGGTATTTGAGAGAAATCTTCAGCGTATTTCCTATCTTTTGGAAATGTGAAGTATATTATGTCGTACGCTTATGTTTTTATTGACTGTGTGAAATAGCAGACAACGTTATGAACATCAGACCGATACAGGAGGCACCGTTAATGCATAACGACTCTGCAAGTGGAGAGGGGAAAACATGAAAGTTAACAAGCTCCCCCTGTAATCTACTATAAAACTAGCTCCTCCACTGTATTCCAAGGATCATGCTGTACATGTCATATGAACGAGTTATTCCATACATAAACTGGCTTGTAAAAACGTGTCCCTTACGGTGGATGTAGATTTCTTTGTTACTAAGCCCTTGCACTAACAAACAAATATTTAAATCTGAATGAAAAAAAAACAGGTCAGTTTAATCAGAAATGAGCTTTCAGCATTTCTTAGTTTTTTAAAAGATGCATGGATGCACATGCAAATATTTTAATAGCCATCGGCGTGCCGAACGACATCTGTGTGGGGCAATAACGTTAGCCCGAGCCTTGACGAGAAAAAATGTTGTATTTATCTACTCATATAGGGGGAGATCAAACAGTCTACGATTTGTTCAGTGGAAAAAAGTCTACCTATATGATACAATAATGATGCCTGAAACTGCTTCCCTTTAGGTGAAGTCTACTCTGCATCTAGATTAAATTGTAGTCTAAAGAACAGCTCTTAGAAAACGCGATGCAGCGTAAAATGCAGTGTAGCATTGTCAAGTATAAATAATAAAGCCTTCCTCCTTGCTAACGCGTGTTTCGTCCGTTATTGTTCATTTTAAAAACATTCTCGCATGAGAAGACACTGCGTCACGAACAAGCATATCTTCTAAGTCCATCTGAGGTTCATCAGGGACTATTTTCACATCAGTTCCTCGTTTTAATGTTTTTGTATGAAAAGACATTTTTTTATTAAGATGTGTGTTACAATTGCGGCAAGAAAGAGGTGTCACCGCAGTCGTTTCGAGAGCTTTGAGACGCCTGTACGGGAGCCCATAAGATTGAATACCGCATGATGTACAGTTTTTCATCACTATATTACACTATTGGTAATATTTTTACCCTGTCTCAGTAGAAACGGACATAAAACATCAGAAAAAATAGTCTCACAGCGACTATGTTACCACTGTTAACCATTACTCAACCTACCAAAATAAGCAAGCACATTTGTCCAATATTATGCAACGTGCTCACTATTGAGCTATTATTAATAGATGATCCACTGAGCTAATAGCCCCGTTTATTTGGGCGGCGTACGACACGAATGTTAAATCAGACGACGGTCTGAGATAACAATACTGATAATGTATGCGGGCACCTAATATTGATTGTTGCAATTGTTACGGAGCGTTTTCGTACGCGTTCAGATTCGCGTTGTGCATCGCCGTGCTGCTTAAGTACGGCGCAGTTATAAAGGTAAGTTGTTTAATAGGTCCAATTTGCAGCTGATCATATAGGTGAAACTACCTGAAATCTAATTAAAAATGACAGACCGGCGCTAATTGAGCCTTTCTTTGGTGTCAAGCTGTTATTGTTAATAACGCCAAAGCGTTTAATTTTTGTTATTGTTGTTATTGATATTCAGCTATCAGCTAGCAACAATTATAAATAAATAAGCTTTGGTCAATAATTTACGAAGTCCAATGGCCGAATTTGAGATAATCCTACTTACTTTCCTAGGTTCGCAATAGCTGTGCCGTCTGCTAGTGTCTAACAAGTAAACAAACACTAAAGCGCCGGCACAATTGTCTAGAAGTACCGATCTACTGTCTAGCGTTTTTTTTCGACTTATTTGAGCGGTACGTGTTCAGGTGTTTAGTTAATTTGTATGTCACCTGTAAGAATATATAATACAATTTCAATGATATGTATAACGCTAACTGAGCAGACTCTTTAAAATATGGCCAAAATTTTAAAATATAGCTAAAAGCTATAAGTGATAAGGCGAACAAATGCGCGAAGTACTATGAGCTTGATAAAAGCGTATTATTTGCAACATGTAAAAGGGTAACATCGACTAAAGCAATCGTGTATATACGAGACATATTTTTGGATGGGTTCGACAGAAAATGCGTTATTTTTTATAGGTTAAATTGTTCTAACAATGTTTACAAATGAGATAAGTTTATAGTATTTTTATGCGACGAAACGAGACTGTAGTATGTCTATAGTAGGCTAGTTTTGTCAGTTAGTTTACTATTGCTATAGGTAGCGATTCCAATATTTGAATGATTCAGTTGGAGAAGCCTTAAGTTGATTAGTACTATTTGCCTAATCTCGGCCCTTTTAAGTTATTCTAATTCTGTAATATTTCCAATCAACTCTTGAATTGATAGGAATGATGTCACTGTGTGGTGTGTGGAGTAACTGTGTTTGTAATTTAAGGTTTGCAAACAACATGTTAACGAAAGTTGCGGGGTCGCTTGTCGGTCTGGGAATGGCGGCGTTACTCGGCTACAAGAAGTGGACATGCTTAGAACACCATGAAGAGGTTGATGGAGTTAGATCATCTAAAACTACTCTTAAACCTTGTCCTTTTCACGATCATAAGAAGGTCCCTCATCACCGCGTCCGTCTTTATGGCCATTTACCAAAATCGTCCGAGACAGGTCTGCGTGCGCATATACACGATGAGGTAAGGTATTGGTTGCTTTAGAAGCAACCAGAGTATGTTGTGCTCCCATGTAGCATCTGACAGAGGATCAAGTTGTCAAACTAAACAATATAAACTCTGTTTAAACCTCTGATACACTATTGTGTCATAATATTTTTTCAGAGCCTGTTTTTTGGCTATTTGGTATAACCTTAAATTCGCTTATTACTCAGATTATATATTTTGTTTGCTCTTGCGTTTCTTGTTACGCTTGCTTGCAGAGAAAGAACTGGAACTTTAATTGGGACAGTAGGGACCCAGCCGAAATCTATTCTAAGGCCGAAGGTCCGATCAACGAGTGCAAAATTCCATATAAATCGCGTCATATCTACCTTGTTCGGCATGGAGAATATAACCAAGATAATGAACACGATGCGTTACGAAATTTAACTGAAAAAGGCAAAGAGCAAGCAACACTTGCGGGAAAACGACTCCAGGAGTTAGGATTAACGTTCGACAAAATTATAATCTCTACGATGACTAGGGCGCGAGAAACGGGCGATTGCATCTTGAAGTAAGTGCACGCTGATCAGCAGAATCGAAAATACGAACCAAATGTGCCAATGCACAGTTTTGTTACAATGCACAGTTAGTTGATGTTTTGTTTTTGCATTATTCCTATACTAAAATAGAATTTTAAATCATCTATTTAAGCAACACTTGTAATCGAGAAAATCACTCATTGAGATGGCGTCGGGCGAAGTTTTTAAATAGGTTAATACAATCTTTGACTTAATGAATGACCTATGAAAGCTTTTTAATTTACAGGGAATTGCCACCAGAAATGACAGAAAAGGTAGTTACAACGGATTTATTGCGAGAAGGTTTACCCGCTTCCTCAGAACCGAAATCAGGTAAATTTCGTGAACCTTCAATATTCTTCCAGGACGGGGCCCGCATTGAAGCGGGTTTTCGAAAATATTTCTATCGGGCAAAGCCAACTCAAGAAAGAACCGAGAGACTGTTGCTTGTGTGTCACGCAAACGTCATCAGGTAAATGAGGTGAAATTATTCATGGGAATTCAAGCACTGTTAAAAATAATGGTGCTACAGATCTGGTATGTAAGATATGGTATTTTGAAAAGAGCTGTAATGCGCATCGAAGCAATCATTTCGCACATATTTATTGCACACAGAGTAGCGGAAGGAGTATTAAAGAAGAGAATCAAAGAAGAATTAATTTCAACAAAGGTAATATAGCCAAATACTTTTTCCCCACTTTACTTACAACTGTATGCTATTTCAGATACTTCATTTGTCGCGCTCTGCAGATTCCTGAAGACGCATTGTTGCGGTTTTCCATTAAACATGGTTCCATTACTCACATCGAGATCAAACCATCGGGAAGGGTCGTGGCGAGATTTATCGGTGAAACGGGCTTCATGCCCGAGAACTTGCAAAAGCAGTAGAAAAACAAGCTAACTTTCAGTGAACTAGCTAATGCGATAATTGCACGCCGTTTAAAAACGTTCACTAGCCAATCGTTGTAAACAAAACGACCAAAAGATCGTAATGCACAGTTTATAAGAATTGTCGCGGTCAACTGAGCAATTGTAAAACATTTGCCCGCCATGGTCATGTATGTATATATATATACATACATCTCTTATAATGTCGAATCCGTGGCATATGCCTTTCAGGATGGTAAAAAAAGCATGTGCTCTAAGAAAGAACCATGGCGAACTACCTCGAGTTGTGGTTGCTAGGTTCGATATTAGATCTTCACAATTAGTCGGCTAACATTTTACAGTCCTGCACGAAGAGCAACTAGCCAATTTCTCAAATTGTATTCCATGTACTCATTGAAGTTGATATGTAAATAGTTAGAAAATGGTTTGATAACTAGGAATAGCTACTAACTTAACAGATATTTTCCGACTTTTTTTTTGGCCAATAGTCGGCACGCCATGGAGTTATGTCTGTAATCATGTCTATACGTGGCTTAAACGACGATTCTCGCTTCTCAGTGACATCCCAATACAAAAGTATTTTGAGTGACGCGCATGAACGGTAGAGGATAAACATGAATGACATTTGTATGGAGTAAGATGCACATTTTATTACGCTTTTACGCGGAGCTATATTGGAAGCTTCATACTAATTATAGTTCTACAATAAATAATTAGATCAGGAACAAGAGTCGTACTAAGGTGAGACCCATAAAACGCACTTTCGAAACTTATGATGATTCAAATGGACATCAACAATTTATATACGTGCATTGTGGAGCATCCCGCCAAACCAATGCTCCGTCCTTCTTTATGCGAACTCTGTGATCTTTCGTTAAATAAATGATTTGCTATAAGAGGGACCATTCGATTCAAGCGATTGTGTTCGTTGACACTGTGGTTTCCTATCGACAATTCGCACTTAACGAATTGTAAATGTTCTTAACTCCTGACCAGTGTAAGTATACTGAGCAGTGCCTACATCCTGTCTTCCTTCGCATATTACAGCGCACTTAGCTTTAGAGTATAACTTCCTAGTTCAAAAAACAAATTGCAGGGGAATAATACGGGCTTCCAGCTTGCTATCATTAGCTATTTTAGAAATTAATAAGTGAGTCAACAAAATAGAGTCCGTTCAGTCATCCGAAATACACTGTTAGACAGTAATGCGATATAAATGGTGGGTACTATGTATTGTGGAAGCTCGTACCTAAAATATATTAATGGAGCCTCAGAGAAGCAACCTTGATGATACTCACTGAGCCTCCCCAGCAATATGGCTTAGTAATTCGGTGTAGTCAGATGAGCGACTTAAGACTTATATAAATGTCCATTTAAGGATTGGCTCAATTTGTAAAAAATATGTGAGTAAAAATGTTTTAATGATAACCGCAGTTTAATTTGACATAACGAAGGAAATAGTCCTCGAATCTAGCGAATCATAGCAGTTTTAATTTACTGCCTCTGACACTAAATCTAACGATTCTTTACAAGGGTAACTACAAAAGCCGATCATTTACAAGTAGTTCTGGCTGATTAGAAAGGCCTCTAGGTTGTACCTGCATTATGCAAGAATGTCCTGTGCATGTGTCTGTGGTAATGGATGATAATCTTGCATTTCAAAGAGATTTCAAAGAGTTAATATAGCGGAGAGGACCCGCAAAGTAAACATACAATTCAGTTTTTGACAACCATTGATTTGTACGCGGAGATAATAAGTTAGTAGTGTAGATGAGAATGCTGCTCAAAGCCTCATGAAGGCCACAAAATCGAGGCTTACAAGGTTAGTAGTTCACAAAAATCTTATAAAATGAATAATACTATTTCATTTCTGGACTTACTGTAAACCTTAGAGTATGCTCATTCCATGTATCTCATTACACTATAAATAATGATAATATCACTACTACTACCAATAACAATAATAGACACTTTTCCATTTTTCTAAAATTGCAAGATCTGAGTCATTAATAATGCCATATTAAAAGCCAATATTGTCCTTAGACATCGCAGCACTTTTCAGGATAAAGCCCAATTTGTAATGATCTGCTAATTATCGTCTAACAAACCGTACCGTAGCGATAATGCAGCAATAGCATGGCCAGGATATAACAACGGAATTCAGCAAACCCGATGTTTACTTCAGATGTCAATCAATATACAAGGACCTAATATAAGCCTTGCATATATTAGTACAAATAGCTTTATTGGCGATTTTTTTATCACCAACTGCTTCGACTCAAGCTGCTTGTTTATGTAAATTCAATAATTATATATTCCACTTCATATATTCTGATCTATCGTACGCTGATAAATACCGTTTCTTTCTTTGGCAGTACGATATCTGCATATTTGTTCCCTATAAATTCAATAGCTAGCCATTATATCATTGGGGATCGATTAGTACGATGCGCGCGCGAGTGTTTAGTTTGTGCACAACTGCCATTCTAATAGTGATTCGTCTCTTTCGTTCATAAGTATTTTACAGGCAATTGGGAATAACATAAAGATGCTTTTATAATTCTTTTTACTACGAACTGTTTTTACTATGAATATGCATATGCATTTTTTCGTAAATTATGTATATATGCATTTGCCTTTTTGACGCCAATTGTAAACTAGTGGTGTTATAAATACTTTTAAAGAAAAACAAAATAATGGCACCTTTAAATATTTCTCGTGTCTGCTTCATCACGTGCGTTATTGTAACCTAGCCAATGTGCATTGTATCTGTTCAGATCACAGGCGTCCGGCCTTTGTGTGTCAGACAGAGATTGTCTATCCTCCGAAAAAGCTCCACTCTGCGTTTCATAGCAGCAGCAGCAACGCCAGCCAGTCACCTCAACATCTCCCTCGTCCCTTCGCCGCACAGCTTCTATCGCTTTGAGCAGTCCAACATGGTGCGGCCCTGGTACGGTCGAACGCTCGTGAGTGCAACCGGTACTATGGTAGTGATTTTCGCGCTATTCTGGCCAGTAAAATGCCGCTACAGCGACGAAGCCGAGTTCACATTATCGATTCCAGCCGGCAAGGAAGAATGCCTCTTCCAGAACGCCCGAAAAAATCAACTCCTTGAGATAGAATATCAAGTTCTTGATGCCGGCTCGATGGGGGAAAATTCGCTAAGTGTGGATTTTACGCTGACTGCTCCCGATGGAACTGTTATGGTTCGGGAGGAGGATAAACCGGACTCTGTACATCGACTTGAGGTGAAAGTTGACGGTGATTATAAAATCTGTTTAGGAAACACCCGTTCATTACTCAGTGCGAAACAGGTCTACCTCGAAGTGTTCGTCGACAACGGAGATAGTTCACGAGAAGTCGAGGACGATGATCCCTTCGGGTTGGGCAGCGTTACCCTGACCCCTGATCAGGGCTTTAATTCGAGTGACATTGATAAGATGAAGGCTAGACTTAATCGTCTCTACGATTTGCTCAACCAGGTCGAACGCTATCAGGAATGGCAAAAGGCTCATGAAGCGCGCCACCGGAACTTAGTCGAACACAACTTTTCCAAAGTTAATTGGCTTTCGTTTATACTAACCGTCGTCGTTGTTATAGTCGGTTCGATTCAAGTATATATTATTCGAGGGTTCTTTGATAATAAGTCGACAGTGCATCGATTTTTTAAGCGAATCTGAGCCCAGATTTTTTGAACATTCCGTACCTAAATTTTTGGTACGGACCCGGAAAATATGGAAGATTCGTTAGTTAGCCAATGCAGACGAAATTTGGCCGTGTATGTGCGATTAAAAAATATAACGATACCCTGTAAGCAATAATGGAGTATCAACGGCACTTCAGTGTAATGTCCGAAGAGCTACATGTACAGTATCCGAAAAGTCTCTATGCGACTATAGTGTTACCTCAACGTACGAGGTTTATATGCCATAATTTTTTCGACGATGTCATTAGTTCAATGATTTTTCAAGCGTTATCTGAATTTTTCAATTATCTTCAACTTTTACTGTGTGAGTATTAAGCGAGAAACGCCATGCTTAATATAATAATACAACTAAGAACAAAAGTGTCTTTGCATGCGTGTCCAGTCAGAAGAGATTTCTTAACAAACCTAATCGTTACCCATGGGTATAAAAACAGGTTATCTGTTTATATTATATTGTTGTGTAAATCTATATTGGACGTGAGGACGGTATCCACCGGGTAATATATATATATATAACCTTTTTCCACCTACTTAATCTTTCTGTCTCTTTCGAAAAGTAATAAACATATGATCTATTGAAATTAGTATTATCATAGCATTATTACCCGCATTCTGGTAAGTGTATAAATTTAAACTTCTTTACTTATGCGAACAAGAAATTTTTAGGACAAATATTGTTGATTTGCTAATTTGTTATTGTGTGTTTGCTCTGAGAGAATGACCTGTAAGAGGCAATACCAAAGCTATGGTTGTGCTATGAGGATAGCAAAGGGTCAGCGTAATTCCTTTTTATTGGTTAGCTGTCACCGATAAAAAGGATTAAATAGATCGGCTGGCGCTGACTGCGAACACCCATAGATAATTACAGGTAGATATGCCGCCTATCTAAGGGCGCTTACGTAATTCTACTTATTATTTCGGTTATCACGAAGTTCATTCGCTTTAGTAAGTTGACTTAGCAACTACATATAGTCAAAGTCGAGGTTTCATCTTTATTATTATTACCCTTATTTTTGTTTTTATGCGTTTGTTAGTACCACCCAATAGTGGCTTGTATTGGATTGCGTAGTTCAGGTGGCTTAAATAAGTCTGGGATTAGCAATTCTGGTAAATAGCGTTTCTAAAAGGCAAGTGACTGGAATTATCATGCGAACATGTTGATATTTGAACACATGGACACTCGTTTTTCAGTCAAACTTAAGTTTTTTTTTTCAAGAAAACAAATTGCCGTCCTTGTGGTTGCTACAAATAGACACTGGCGGTGATCCTTGAACAATAGGTCTGTAAAAAAAACAAGTATTATATTTTAATAAACAATATGTTTTTAAAAATATGGAGTCCTCTTCTTCTTGTCTTTTTTATATGTCTCTAAGACGTTAGCTAGAATAAATAAGTAAGTCAAATAAAACCATCGATTGAACAGCGAAAAGACTAAAAGCACTGTGATAGCATTTCCTCAGGCAGTTTTGGCCTTAAGATGCACGTTATAGCCAGGGCGAGCACTACTTTTTCCGAACACAGGTTTTCTCGAAGTACAAGTATGGCTGTAGTGCGGTCAGCGAGTAGAATTATTCCAGTCTATTCTTTTTAAGATGTTCAGATTAAAACAAGCTTGCAGAAATTTCAGGCAGTATCGCAAGGATTTTCTTCGTTACGGCTTCTGAAACAACATTCAATAACAGCGCCTGACGCAAAATCCGAAAACATTCTTGTAGAACATGCGGTACGGATACGCACATAGGCATCGACCCATTAATATTTACATATATCAATACGCCTTTTCACCGGGGATTGAGTAGACTTCTTTCGTCCTAGAGAACCGTGAAACATTTTTGGTCTGTCTATAAATAGAGGACAACCACTTCTAGAAACGTCAATAATTAGTTGCATTATAGCCTGTCCAGTTACGGATCTCTCAGGGGTTTGCTAATTTTTTTCCTATACGATAAACACTGTTCTAACTGCTTGTTAGCGAGAGAAAATCTAGCTTGTGTTCAACCGGTGTCTAATCTTAATATACATAGGAGCACCTTGGCCCAAGTGAGCACTCCCTTTTAGATTACTAGGTTCATTGAAAATATCAAATCAGTATTTAATATATCAACCCAATACTATAAAAGAAACTAAGAAAAAGTCGGACATAGTCCCTTCAGCCACAGAAAGGTCGAGAACCAGTGTTATAAGGATTCGACTTACATCCCTGGATTACGGCTTTATTCAGCAATAAATATTATAATATGATGGCAGATGTATGAGTATATCGGAATTATACCTCTTTCTGTCTATAGGAGCCACTCTCTTGCTGTACGTTGAATTCGAGGCAAAGTCTGGACAGATGGTCTTGTAGAGCAGTAGATCGCTGATATGAAAGGGCAAAAAACAGCGCGGCAAAGATAACCACAGGTAAACAGCACAATAATGCCTCGAATTATCCACAGCCAAGCCCGTTCAGCGTTTTATGTAGACAATGAATTGTCACGCAGATAACATGCTCGTCGCACCGGGAAAGAGCCGAGGTCGGGTGGAACGCATTACGAACCTTCTACAGAAACAAGGCAAGTACTTCAAGGCCCCCAAGGACGCTCGACGATGCCTGACTTTGTTTAAACGGGATTTGTCAGATACACCTAAAGGTGGTGCAACAACTCGTTTACTCCAAGCCATAAACAGGTCGTGAGATACTGTTCGAAGAGCATATATGTGCTCTCGAAACATGGTTTACGTTTCCCCTTTTTCTGTTTCTTTGCTGTCCTTTTGTGAAAACTGCGTAACTGGGGACCTGGGCGGCACTTCTGCTCTGCTTGATTCACCTATGAATTATATAAAATAGTCCTAATTGGTTCTGCATTTTGGATCCAATACGGCAGTGATGAAATCGAATTTTGATAGTTATTCACTAGGCTTGTCTACGTCCGTTTGTTACTCGTCGACACTGTGACTGAGGCGACTTAAACCGCTAGCCGAGAAACCCAGGGGCCTTTGGTTTACGCCTCGCCAATGATATCTATATCATCGGCATGACAGACGTGATTAAATAATGAATACATCTATTTATTCCTATCTCTGTACTTAAACGACAACCAGCAGTGTATCGTAGTGCTTACGACAACAGGCACAAAGTGGAATAATGCTGTTTAGAATTTTATCGAACATATATCTCGATAACGTGCAGATCGCTATAAACTAGTATTAGCAGCGGAAGGCCTTATCACTTCGTATTTGTATTTGCTTCGACCAAAGTGTGTGCCTTCGCACAGAGTTGAAGCGTACTTAAAAATGTACTATTTTTTTTAGAATTTGCGTTCGTTCTTTATCTTCTATCGTTTGATTTCCACTTACCTTTTCATGACTATGCTTTGTAGTATTCAGAATCAGCGTTCACAAAACACTGAATGAATCTACGTTTGACAATACAAGTTACACATCAAATTGTGGTATCTATTGACGATGAGCACAAAGCACAGTCACGGTTGAATCGATATAGTGATGACACTGACGAAACCATGGACAGTGCTATTTACAATAGCAGTAACAAAAACGTACACAGAAACAGCTATCAACAAACAACAAGAACACCTTTTGCACCTGTCAAAGTAAACAGTTAATTCTAAACGACTCCTCCATACGAATACGATATTGCAGCTTGGACTTGTTTCTTATTAGTGGTTGCTTTTTGTTTTCGTCAGAAGTTTCCTTCGCAGGATGGGAAGCGGGATAGTCGATTAGCAAACGCGAAACATGTTCCACAGTGTGTGATTGACTATGCACTAGCATTGCAGCAATGCCATGTTATATTACTATCAAAACGTTACGCTAATAAAACGATTAGTAATTAAATAGTTATTGGTCAAAAGGAATATAATACGCCAGCGTGCTTCGATCTCGCTCGACTACCAACTAGGTAAAAACTGTTATGGATTAAAGTTTGTCTTCAATATTACTCTGTCGAACGCATACAAAACAGTCCTACTGTAGGTATGTATTTTATATACTATACAGCACAAGATAGTCGTCGACGACGGCGATCATGGATAAACAAAAAAAAAAAAACCAATTGTTCAGCGACCTTCTGCCTTTTCGCGTGCTGGTCTAATCTGATCTTTCTTCTTCGGTGATGTCGCGCAATGCAAGATCGAGGCCTCTCTGGCTATTCGTCTTTCGCGCACCGCTTGGAGAAAGGGTCATCTTTTTTGAACGCTCTCGCAGAAATGGCAGCGTCGAGCTCCAGCGCGCAATCAACTGCAATCTGAATCAGAAATTCCAAAAAGCAATTGCCACTATCGTCGTATTCGCACAGAAGTAACATTATCTACAGCTCAAACAACAGTTCGATACGTCCTCGGCCCTCCCGCGCCACTGCGCCTTCTGTCGTCGTACAGTGACAATGGTAAACAAGCAACGGTGGCTTGTGCTTGACCGCCAGCTACAAGCATTTCTAATTGACGATAAACTCAACGGACTCCGCGTTCGCCTTTAACTCCCTGTATGCTATGATATAATAGAGTGGATACAATTTTTACTGAAAGTGTACGTGCCGCTGCAGCGGTACACTAATTGAAAGAGCGAACAGATAAAGGCAGACATCTGCTGTTCATACACCGAATTACTGTTAGTCGAACGTCGCTATAATAACGACCGCCGACAACCGGCACCAATCTAAATCTTGTTTCTTCACTGCGAACCACTCTCGTACAAGTGACATCTCTAACTACCATCTCGAATTATTCCTTCAATATCGCATGCAGTGGCCGAAGAAAAAGAGTTGAAGTGGATGAGAAACAAAATCTATATTCTGTCGATCTGGCAGAGACAAGGACCTTCCCCGACCCGCTGTGGATCATTTCTTGGTTCTTTCTGACTTTTTACTTCTATCCCTGAAAGCACTGTCGTTCACGAAACAACCAGCAACGGCGGCAATATACGCCGAAATAAAGTAAGTTTTCTTTGGCGCAAAATCAGCCTTCCTCCTGCCTGTTGTGGTCTCCCCCTGCCTGTCTGTCTGTCAAGCTCTCGTAGCAGGGCTGTGATGTCATTATTATCAGTGCGGTGATCATCTGCCTGATTGCTCGGTGTGTGCGGATCTCTTTCACCTGTTCAGTCGCGATCATAGCGGCAGCACGGTCTGCAGGGCTGTCAGCATGGATCCTCTGCCTGCTTCGCTGTCCGTTGGTCCGCCAATAAGCCGGACTAACTGGGGGACCAACTTTCGCCGCTTTATTCCATTGCGTGCTCTGAAAGACTCTTTCTTTCTTCGTTATCTATTCGTTGTTCCCGTCTTTCTATGACGTCCGCCTTTTGGCGCGAACTTGCGAACTATCTCGCTTTTTTTTCGATCTAGCTCGCAGGTAAGGTATTATCGTTTCATATGCGTATACGCCTGTTGGTACGTTTCCCCATCGTTCTTTTCTTCGTAGCAGTCGATCGATCTCTTAGAGAACAACGTCGCTGCGTATCGATGCGCTCGTTCAGGAAAATAGGACGGCGAAATGACAATCGACTGCAATATGAGCTACGTCGGCTAGAGCAATGGCACCACCACCGTCGGCAGTAGCAACAGCGCGATCAAAGGTGTTTGACGGACGTCCTCTCTCGAAATTTGCAGGAGTTCGTGCCTATGCGGTAACACTAACACCTTCAGTTGTCTGTCAGATACAATATGAGACTTGAGGTTGTTATCTTTTGCAATGACAGCAACAAGCACAACAATGGTCGACTGAGAAATAACGATACAGACGAATAGTTATCTAATAATATTTTAACTATTATAATAATCCATTCGTCGATTAATAACTAGAGAAAGGCCCTAACACACATGAATCTGTTGAAGAAATAATTACAATGCCAACTAGTAAAAAAAAACACAACTGTCCCAGAGAACAGTTGAAAAATTATGCTGGCAGTACAAGTCTCAAAATGAAGCCAATTGACTGATAAGCGTACCACTTTCCTACACGTACTATAGTTTTTATAAGCGTTGCGCCGAACGGCGCTACTAAGTTAAATTAATTAGTTTTTCACAAGCCTACGTATAATATCGGCTTCTTATAGCCCGATATAAGAAATATCTTCAGATACTAACAACTCAAACGATTAGATAGTAACTTTGCATCGATTCAAGAGGTTGACCGAGGAACTTTTTATAGACTGTGATTCATTAAACGCTGTCTGCTATACGTATTCTTGGTCTTACCTAAGGATAAACACCAGCAGTTTGTGAACCCACTATAATAAACCGATGACTCTAGTCCTATGTGTATTGACTGGTCCATTGTACGGCAAGAGAACAGCAGCGTCTTGCCTACATTGAAGAAATTTAGGGTACGGTACC